TATGAAAGAGTACATTACTCAACCCGTACACAATAGATGTGCCGATTTAAGATAAAATTCAGAATAACATGTAATCCGACATATAGAGTAAACAGGTGAAAATAATCAGATATAAAATTTACAATGATTCAAGACATAAGACAGGTCTGATCGGACAGCGAAAACAGGGGTACCCAAGCGACGAATATAAAAGTCATGCATAGTCTGGTACTCTAGATTGGTTTAGTAGGAGGCAGCTTCTTGCCAATGAGTGACTTGTGGATATGAGGAATCACACCACCACCCGCAATTGTTGCCTTAATCAAGGTGTCAAGCTCCTCATCCCCCCGAATTGCTAGTTGCAGATGCCTTGGTGTGATACGCTTCACCTTCAAGTCTTTACTGGCATTGCCAGCAAGTTCGAGGACCTCAGCAGTCAGGTATTCAAGAATGGCAGCAGAGTACACTGCAGCGGTAGCGCCTACGCGCCCATGGCTAGTAGTCCTTGTCTTTAAGTGACGGTGGATACGACCAACGGGAAACTAGGGAGGATTTTACGCACAACGTTATTTAGGATGTTTAGTTTGATAATATAGCATAAATAAATAAGAAGGAATAAGCTTATCAACAATACGAAAATTCATTGAAAATTATCCATAGCTGAACGTTAGAGCTTGACTAACCTGTAAGCCTGCCCTGTGCGAACGGGAAATCGCCTTGGCTTTCGCCTTACCAGAATCTTTTCCAGCTTTACCACCAGCCTAAAATGACGAGAGTATGGGTTAAGGATAAACGCGACACATACCATGAAGGTAGACAGCAGAGTAGCAAACTCAAATCGGAGTGAGGGGAAAGGCCTCAAGCGGTTGGATAAACGAGTACATTAAAAGATATAATTACAAGAATAAATCATTTATGCATAAATATATACCTTAAGTATAATACTGAAATTTAAGTACTAACGTCGGTTAATTAATTTTTGATTGAATATAGTCTGAGACGATATGGTCCATCTAGCCGAGGCCCGGAAACTACGCTTAGTATATTTTTGCTCTATTTCGCAAA